CGGAAGAGGAAAAATCGCCTGTGTGCCCCCTCCGCCTTCCCCTGCCCACTTTCTCAGAGAAAGGATGCCAGGAGCATCTGAGAGTTCTCCCGTTCTTGGCCCTGCCTGGCATGATGTGAGGAGAGTCTGGAAGCCAAGGCTGCCTCCTGGGCCCCATTTCCAGAATGGGGTCCTCTTAGGAGGTCTGTGAACATTTGGCCAGGCTGTGCTCTTGCAGAACTGGCTTCAGCTTCTCTGGCCTGGCCTGGCGGATTAGAAGGCGGCAAGGGTGGCCGAGGCCCCAACGATCTTACTGATGCACCCCTCCCCGGGGAGAGGGGACCCAGAGCTGGTCCCTCAGCTCTGCATGGACTTCTGGGAACCTCTTGAGGCACCCCCGTGCCCACCCCCGCCGAAAATTACATGGATGTGCCTCACTGGGAGCCTGAGCCCAAACCCAGCGATAGCCCTGAGAGGCTTTGACAAGCCGCTGCCCTTCAAGACTTTGGGGACGGGCCAAGAATCCAATAGTAGTCAAAGATGCCTGGGAGCTGTGGGGCCGCAGGAAGGGCAGTCAGAGAAGGCTTCCCAGAGGGGACATCAGCCTTATGGGAAGGAACATGAAGAGTCTGTTGGTGAAGATGGATGGGAAGGGCAATACAGGCACAGAGTGGCCAATAGAGAGGGAGGATAGTGAAGCATATGCAGTTTAGCTGGAGTGGAGGGCCATGCTGAAGGCTGCAGAGGGAGGCAGGACCAGCGATCAGTAATGCTGGGCCCGAGTTAGGCCCACAGAGGCGCTGAGGGTGAGCAAGTGACGTCGTCTGTTCACCTCTGCGTGCTGGTACCCAGTAGGCACTCACACACGATGGCTAAATGGCTGATTAACCAATGCTTGATCCTAGGAGGGCACCTTACCTGCCTAAGTATATACAGTTATAGAATTTCCATTATTGAAGTAAAACCTGCTCGTTCTAAAAAAAAAAAATTAAAAGATAGGTGAATGATGTTGTGGTTGGAGAAATTACTTACATAGAATCCATTGTTTTCACCAAAATATCTCCTGTTCTTGAGTACCCCTAGAGCCAGGGAGCTCACTTCCTAATAAGGCTGCCCAAGAGGGTCTGCAGGCAGAATCCAGGGGTCTCTAAACACTTGCCCCTTGGCTGCCAGGGTGCAGCCTGCCGAGCCCGAGTCCCTGGCAGCATCGTGGCCCCGCAGGGGGAGTGCTTCTCCAGGCTGACCAGAATGCCCAGCTCTCAGAGACGGCTTCCTCAACACCAACCAGCTGGGGCCTCACCTGGCAGAGAGCATTTTCCTCTGGCCCAGCCCTGGGGCTGCCAGCAGGGCACCTCTGGTCTCTCCCGGGATCTTGGCCAGGCATCCAAGGTGAGGCAGGAGGGACCCCACGGGCGGGGGGCAGCATGGCCCTACTCTGGTAATGGGCTCTTGGGGGCATCTCATTTGGCCTCATTTAGGTTATGCACCGGGGGTAAAGGGTAGGAACGCAGGCTCCCCACGCCAACCCCACCCCCAGGCTGTCAGCTTATTGGCTGCTGGGTCCCTAGACTCTGCTCTCTGGGCAGGCTGAGTGACCTCAAGCTTGTCACCAACCCCCTCCAGCCCCAGATGCTTCCCCATCTGCAGGATGGGGCTAATGTGGGCTGTGTGAGCGGGTTCGTTTCATCAACCACCAAGCACTTGGTGTCAGGGCGTCACTTTTATTATATTTATTATTA